GCGCGAATAACTTTAACCAGTCAACGATCACGCTTGCCCTCGATTTTGCGACGCTGTAATGTGTTTCCAACGTGTATCGGAATCCGAGTCCATTTCATCGCGGCGAGAAATGTCCATCTCGATGCAACGTTCGTCTCTTCGATCGATTAACCGCGATGATAACGGGATTAAAATCTTTCGAAGGAGAGAGGAAACGAGTGAAAATCGTGCAAAGAAAATTTGCAATTATTATGGTGGGATGATCGTAATTGTATAATCGAAAACAAGTTATTATATCCTTTTCTCGTATTCGATAAGGATTGGGAATTGGTTGGAAGCAATTCGACAACGAAAACACTTATCGAAAGATGGCAAAAGTATTTGTATTTTATAATCTTTACCATCTGTTACACGGTTTACGTTAAATAGATTTACAACGCGTCACGCTATAGCATCGGGTATTGGCCAATAAAAGACGTCTATGAAACGATTTGTCACGCAGCACGAGGCGTTTGGAATTTTTGGCCGATTTCTTCACGCTCGCAACAGAATTCCAAAACAGTTTTATAATAATTATTCCCCCGTGTTTCCGGATTGTTATTGGGAAAGTCACTTCCGAGGCCTTGGATTTATTTCGTTCCTTTATATTTGTTTTCCCGACTCGTGTGCACACCGTTTTGCAACGCTTCACTTTACAGGAAATGACGCGCGCGATTTATAATCAATTAAACCGTTCCGATGACATTTCAAAATTTGATGAAAAAGTAAATTTGATTGAAAGTAAACGGACATTCTTTCTTATTAGGATAAGCACGACGTTAAAAATTCGTTACGCGCGCCGAATAAGACGACAAGTTCGTCTCGTATTCCGCTCACCGACGCATAGTACAACGCACTTACATCTATCGATGTAAAACGAATGTGAAACATCGAAATATTCTCGAAACGTTTCTTCTTCTCTGATCCTTCTTTCCACGCTACTTCTTACATGGATACGTATACTACGCCATCTTTGTTTGTAAAAGAAAAAAAAAAATTGTTGAAATCGTTGGCGTGAGTTGCGGTGGAAAGAAGTAAATGGAAAGAAATGGTGGAAAATCGCGACATCCGTTCCCCTTCGCTCGAAAAGAAATACTCGTTCAATTAACGAAACCGCTAAAGCAAGAATCGTTTCGTATAATTATTTATTTATTTCCTTTTCTAAAACAACGCGAGTATTTTCCCCCGGATCGCATTGTTCCATCCTGTTGTTTTCGAACGCGGTTCTCCTTCTTGCTCCATCTCCTTAAACGTCAGTAACAAAGACCCACGCCTAATATGGATTCGATGTTTCGCGTTCGAAACGTTAACGTTAAACGTTGCCACGGTGAAAGTGCGTTTTTTTTTTCTTTTTCTTTTTACACGTATCTCTTCGCCAAACTATTAAACATTTGTGATAAAATAATACAGTTACGATCGACAGTTGGTAAGTGGAATTCGATAGAAATTCGCTTTAATTGAATTCGCTTAATATCCATATTGACGAGGAAGATGCCCGTTTCGCGACAGCCGAGCCCTAAGGATGTGAAACTAGCGATTCGGTATTTATCGTCAACACGGTAATTTTCACGTAACGTTCGTTGGGTGCACGGACACGGCTTCTTCCTAAATTATCAACCGCGTGTGAACGTCGAACGTGTACTTTCGAAGGTGTAATTACATCGTCGTAAACCATTAGAAAACAATCTTTTTACCATTTGCCTCGTCCCTCCACCGATATTAAGTTAGGTAACTACGGTATGTCGATCATCATTTCAAGATATCACGATTATATCCTTATACGACTAATCCGTGAAATATCCTCGATAAAATGATTTTTTTTTTTGTTTGCTTTCCCTATAAGGTAATTGGAACAAGGCGATATCGAATTCGAATATATTTCTAAACAGTAAATGGAACGACATTTTTTCCAACGACATCTTCACTGTTGCACCATCCGTTATATTGCGCGTTATCCATCATTTTTTACCACTTCGAAAACGTTGGACGATATTAACGTCAAATAACGATTAGAAACGTGGACGAAATCATCTCGAAATACTCTTATAAATTTACGCATCGTGTTTCAACACAGTGTCTTGCAATCGATTTCGATTAACACGCGTTTGTCCTATGCCAACGAGGCATGGTTGTTCGCGTCGTCGTATCGATCCAAGTAGCGCTCGAGTCGCATTGCCGTGTTGCCGAATCCACAATTTAGAAACGAACGCGATTAACACGCGACTCGAAGAATTGTCGCGCGTCGCGTGGAGGGGGAAGGACCAAACTCCTCTCTTGGCTTTCATCCTTTCCCTTCGACCGTGCTTTCTTCCTCCACGATACCTATCCATTCCGTTGAATTTTCAAGGAACGGATCGGATCGGATAAGATGAAGCGTTATTACGTATTGTTTTTATAATTTCTGGCTCGTGAGAAAGAGCAGATTTCTCGGGGTTTAAGGTACAATGCTCTCGCGCCTCGTTTATGAACCAAGCCTACCTTCTCTCCTTAGTCTCCCATTGTAAAGTAAATATTCGAAACAGGATTTCGAATTCCTGTCATTTCATTGATATTATTTCGGTAGATACTCTTCGCTTATTTTTTTTTTTTTTTAATAAAATATCGGTAATAAAAATCACGATTACGAATAAAATGGTCTCTATCGTAATATTCTCTGTTCGAAATAAAATTAGAGGAAAGGAAATATAGGCAAGGATGCTCACGAAATGCTCGAAGAAATTCCGCTACGAAGAAGAGCGTTTTCCTCGCTTTTTCACATTGACTCGTTACGTGCGTAACGCATGTATGTATTTGAAAAATAAACAGCAAGAGAAGAGATTCTAGATCCGTGAAATTTATGGCGCGAACATCTTTGGAAGAGAAATAAACTCGTAGAATGTCGCGTGCGCCTCGTACAATGATGGTACAATGATGAGAACCACGTATTTATTCTACGTAGGATCGGATTCGAGTTCGAGTCAATGGCAAACTTTTTGCGCGTCGCCTTATTTAAGGAATAGAAAGGTTTGCGAACACGCGCAACCACTTGTTAAAACAGATACGCGTTCGTTCCACTGTTTTTGCGTTTTTTTTTTTACGGCACGTAAAAAAAAATTTCACGGCCAATTTCCTTAAGTTGTTACGGGATAAGTGTGGATGTTGAGGCGATATCGATTCCGAAAGCTCGGGACGGAAGAAAAAATCGATTATTAGAGGTGAAAATCTTGGAGGAGATCTTGGGCAAGAAGGGTAGAAAGTATGGAGATAGGATTGGGAGCCGCATCCGGCGGCAATAAATCGAATGCGATCGATACGGCGCAAAAGCAAAGCGTGAAATTCAGTTAGTTTGTAAAAGATAATAATGGATGAAGGGTGTGGTGTTGGCGCGATAATGGTCCAGTTAGATGAGGTAGGTTTCACACCGCATGGTGGCGTTTGGTGGTCTGGAAAGGTCGGCGTTCTCGCGTATAGGTGCACCTGTGGCGGTGGCCGGGTGGGGAGGAGGAGGAGAGGGTATGCGGCTGTGCGCGCTCTCGGTCCACGCCAACAATAGCCTTCTCTCTTTTATTTCGACCGATCGAGAGATTAATAACGTTTCGCGAGCCATTCCCAGGAGAAAGTATTCGATTCGCCAAAGGACTCGAGGTCGCCAGAGGTTATTTCGATCGAAAATACCACGAGGAAGTCGTTTATCGCGATTCCCGAGAACGAGATCTCGCTTCTCTTTCGCGATCGACGAGAGCCCCTCCGATCATCGCCTCGTTTTCCAATATTTCTGTACGTCGTCGATATAATCGTTCGATCGATCCGTCGCGTAAAAATAACCGATAGTTAATTCGTTTTCGTTCGATGAGTGTATTATTTATTATAATACGATTCGATTCCATTTATCGCAAAAATATCGTATCGATAAAATTAATACAATGCAAACGAATAAACATTCGTTGGAAAAGTTTTAACCAACTTCGATGAATATTATTATTATTATTATTATTATTATTATTATTATGCGTATGAAAATACCGAGTGCTATACAGTTACTGCGTAAGTCGAGTCTATAAATATTCAATATCTCATATAGGTATCCCACTTTACATTACAAATCAACGGACAACAAGCAAAAGAGAAAATTAACGGAAAATTACCAGACGTGACAATTGATGGCTTTATTCGAACGTTGTTACTTTGCAAAAGGCAAAAGTCTTTAAATATTGATTTGAACGAGACTGTTTTTTTTTTTAAAGATCGATTAATTTAAAAGAAAAAAAAAATCGCACCGTTCCTCCCCGTAAATTCGATCGTTTGTCACGCGTAATCAAGGTGATTAGCGCGTTTTCCCATGCTGGTTTAATCAAAGATTCCGATTTTGAAATAAAAGTAGCACAAGTGGGACGACAAGTTTTGCACGTGTGTATACCCGGTGTAAAGAAAGAGATACGGAATTGGAAGAAGGGAAAGGAAAAAGAGGTGGGCACGCTGGGAGTGAGAGTAGAGCCGAGGAAAGATGGTCAGTGTGGTCGCCAGAAGGGAATTACACCGAGACGCGGAGGGTGGACACAGGTAGGGGAGGGGGGCGAGGGAGGGGAGGGGGGGGAGAACGGTCGGCGGGGAAGGGATGGGGAAGGGGGGAGTGGAAGGCTTGGCGCGAAGAGAGGGAACGAGCGACGGTGGTCGTGGGTTAGCGGTGGATGGGCATTGGACGTTTGGGCCTTGGCTAAGCACGTTCCACGGGTACCTAAGTAACCTGTAACCGATTCACAGAAGACCGGCTACCTTCGTTGGAACCGGTTGTGCTCGAGATAAATCCGAGAGTAACCCTCGAATCTGAATATCATCTGGATGGACCAATTTTATTTTCATTCGAAGCGGTTGATCGATCGGTGGAGAGAGAGAGAGGAGATTCGTCCCTTCGAAGTAGAAAAACGATATCAAGTGTAGAGAGAGAGAGAGAGAGACACACACACACACACACGCATACATACACGCTCGTGTTCACGGAAGAACCGGGAAACGAAGAAAAAGCGCGAGTTCGAGTCGATCGAGTTGGAATTACGGATCTTGGAAAGATGAGCGGTCCTAGCGTGGACGTGGTCTGGGACCCGCAGGCTCAGATGAATTCCTTGGATTGTTGGGATTACTCGATCGAGCTCTCTTGTCTTCAAGGCCCGGAAGGTATATACGCGATCTCTTTCGTTCGAACGGTGGCGAACGGTGATTCGGTGCGCTTGAAAATGTGCGGTCGACGGATAAAATATGTATACACGAGAGATTTCCAGTGATTTCGTCGTATTTTCGGACAAGTGTTAACTTGATCTTCGCAGAGATGCCAATTTCTTATTTATATAACGTTTCCAAATTGCAAACGTTACGTGTAAATAACAATATAGGAAAGAGCATATAAGATATCTCGATTGAACGTGACAACGCGAGAAGAATGCAAGAAAACGCGTATCTTTTTGCAAAAACGTGATCCCACTATTATGTTGCATTCGCAAAATATGTGTGTAATTTATTCTAAAACAAGAGCTCGAAGCGTGACGTGAATTTTTACGAGATATTCGAATCGTATGTAAATCTAGTTCCTATGCAATTATATTTTTTTTACGAAACATGGGAAAACGTGGAGAGACAGGGAGGAAGGGTGAGAAGGCAGGATGAAATACAAGTGCATGCATGTCGCGTGGTGAAAATTATAATCGTGGTGAGATATTTTGATGTATGAGAAATGCGAATATTGTGCGAATCAGGAGAAGAGAAAGAGAGTGGGATTCGTGGTGGCGCTATGAAGCGAGTCGGGAAGCATTAATGAGAGCGGGGGATGGGAAGGAGAAAACGGTAGTTGGGTCGTTTCCTCGCGACTCCCAAGGTCCTTGGCCCTAGATCCACGCCTCATCCTCGCGTCTCAAGGTGGAAAGGTCGATTTCGGACGCACGAGGAAATACAACGAACCAAACAAACAACCGCTTACCGTACATCGTTTCGAATCGCTCGTTCTGTCTCGTCGTCGTTAACGAGAGAGAGAGAGAGAGAGAGAGAGAAAGCATCGGACGTTGACCATAGATCGGATCTCGTTTAGTCCTAAGAATAATCAAACCACGCGCAAATTAACCACCGCGGATACCTGTATTGCGTATCATTCTCTCTGACTCTGTTTACATATCTCGTTTCCTTTTTTCTTTCCCTCGTATTATTATCATTCAATGATGGGAAATTTGTTTAACGAGACAGAGATTAAAATATTTATTTATCCCATCTCGAAATGAGAATAGAGGGAGAAAGAATAAATGATCTTTTTTAATTACGTCTCACTCTTAACTTCGTTTTCTTACGAAGGAAGTGCAAAAATTAGAAAATTTTAAAATTGGAAATTTTTTAATTTCAGATTTACAATTAGCGGCAGAACTTGGAAAAACGCTTTTGGAACGGAACAAGGAATTGGAGAACATTATTAAAGCGCATCAATCGACCGTGGAGGAACAAGCACAAGAAATAGAGGTGATTTTTTGAACGTTTTGAAACATATTCGCGTCTGTTTTTGATTGAAGTAATAATATTTTTTTTTTTTCCAGTATATGAAAAAACAAACCGCTGCCCTTAGAGAAGTGAACGATTCGCGGTTGAAAATTTACGAGCAACTCGAAGTCAGTATTCAAGATTTGGAACGTGCGAATCATCGTCTGGTAATTGAGAACACCAGCGACAAAAAACTGATCAAGAGGTATGTATGAGGATTGATCATCTGTGGTACTGTTATTCAATTTTATCGCAAATTCATTGTAAACGCAAACTTGGATAAAAAAATTTCTCCATCCATCGATCAATGTTACGAGAATCGATCGAATCGAAACTCGGTTTTTAAATTGGCCATTTAACGCCAAAAAAAGAGGGGCGGGGGGGGAGGGAGGAGGAGGAGGGAAAATTAAATTGACATACGTAATTCTTCGTAATTTGTTGACAGTCAATGTTTAACGATCGAGAGTCTAGAAGCGAGGTGCGAGGAACTTCAGAAGAAAATCGACGAGATAAACGAACAGCATGAAAGTCTGCTCCGGCAACAATCTACGAGTCAATCGGCGAACAATATCACACAAACACACACCATTCATTGGAAAGTATCGGTCACGCAGGGTAGCAGCACACAACAGGTAATTAATATTCATAGAATTCGTTTTCCAACTTCGATAATTATTCCGTTTTGCTATTAAACTCTAATAAGGTAAAAAAAAATCTCATCGTACAAATTTTCCTTAGAAAATTTCTATTACCATTTAACTGAATAAACTCTCGATAATATTCTTTCATTTTTCTCGACTAAGAAATAAGTAATAAGGAATACACAAGTGCGTTATATACAAGTTTACTTTCAGATAAGCGAATTTACTCGCAAGAATTCCGGCACTAACAAAATTTCGATAGATAAATGGAGTTATCTTGTACGGCTTCTTGTCCAACAATGCGGTCGTCGTAACCATTTTTATTACCTGTGTCTCTCGCATACAGTTCGTGCATTCGTTTTCGCTCCCAGTTTTTTTTTTTTTCTTTTTCTTTACGATTGAGACTTGATAATATTTACGATACTTCGAATAGGTGCTTTTTTAACGTTAATGTAAAACGATCGATCGTATTATTTTTATTATTATTATTATTATTATTCCGAAACGCGGAAAATAATGTTTCAGAACGCTGCTCCGTCTGGTCAGAAATCTTTCCAAGAGGCAAACGCGGATACGAACGTACGGCAATTACCGACAATTCCAACGAACGACGAAGAAGTTACCGAATTGTTGAGACAATTGCAGGAAGCGCGAAGCCAGAGGGCAAGAGAGCAGCAAAAGGTTGCCGAGCTTCGACAACAATTGGCATCTTTGTTGCAAGAAAACAACGCGTTGGAAGAACAGTTGAACGTTTGGCGTAATAAAGCACAAGACGTGAAAAATCTTCAAGAGGAGATAAACACTTTGGAAGAAGTAAGGTAGATATCGTGTCAAACAGATATTTACTTTTTTTTTCAATTTATTCGAAATGTAATAACAATTCAGAGAATAATATCTTCTCGAGTATTATTACGAGATCTTTTATGATATTTCTTTATATATATATATGTATATAAAAGTGTATAAAAATACAGTCGTTTAAAAGTTGTTTATTTAGGAAAATTTTTGCTGACTTTGTGTTAATTTAATCGGCCGATGACACTTTTTCGATAACGAGACATTGAAATTTTTATAGACGGGGTCAATTATGCGGACGATGTTTACGAGGACTGGACTCTAAGACGCACGACGAACTCTCTGTAATGTTGAATCAAGAGGAATACGATGATATTAGCATGGCTGAATCGCTCATAAACGATAGTCAACGTGACACTGAGTCTCTTACTCAGGTAATTATTTTTTTATTATATTCTTCTCTGCAACGTTCGTTCTATCGGGCAATATTGTTATATGCATGAAGCGTTTCCTCTTTTTACTCTTTCACTTTTCACTCAATTATTTACATAACGTTTTATTATTCTTCGATCGATGTTTGTTTCCTATTTTTTTTTTTTTTTTTTTTGCGTTTGTCGTACACAATATTTATTTGTGATAAACAACGATGAATATGTATTATTTCGTGCATTTATATATTTATAAGGGCATTAAAGTTGTAGTAGATAGATAAAAATAATTTAATTTTCTTTGCTTTAGGAGATATTCGCAACAAAGATTAAGAAATCCAAGGCAAAAAAAGAGAATAGAGAATTTCGATCCCTGTTATGGACAACTTTTACGTGTATATTGAAATCGCCATCGTTGATATTCATTTTCTTTCATACGATATGGTATATAAAAAACGAATGTGTCGTACCATTGTTGCTGAAACCATTTCGAATACCAATTTTTATATTGAAAAGAGTTCTACCGGTGAAGAATAGTCAGAAATTGCTTTAATCTTTAACGCGTAAGAAAAATAAATCGAACTAGTTCTCTTTTTAAATTAGAAATTATTTAATCGAGCGAATAGTCGAATTAATCGAGCATAATGTATTCGCTTATTATATATTATCGAGAAATATCTGTTTTTAAAATTCACTTGACGTATAAAGACTGAATATTTTTTAACTTTATCTTTACGAAATAAGTAATTGGAAAAGTCTTTGATAAAAAAAAAAATTTCGTCGCGTAATGAGAAGCGAACGAATGAAAAATTTTGATCAAATTTCGTTTAATTCCAATATTATATATATATATATATTTTTTTTCATCCTTATACATATTATTTTGTTAGATTTATTTTCGTTCTGGCATTCTGGGCTTACGATTACAAATTACAATTTCTATAATTAGTTTAATTTAACAGATTTTTTTTTAGAAAGTTATCAAAGGGAGGTTATTACATTATTATAGAAAAATTTGCAAGTGGCAGAAAATTAAAAGACGCGCGTTGTCGAAGATTCTTGATAAAGCTGATAAATTTAAAAAAAAAAAAAAAATGGTGTAGGTAAAGCACAACGAAAATTATAACTGAGCACTTACATTATTAGGAGCGTAATCGTAAGAAATTCGATTATTAACGAGAACATATAAATATAAAATCGATTTTTCAAATAATTATTCGATATAAATATATCGTTCGTATGCCAGAAAAATGCCGTGCACAAATTCGCGTGCAATAAAATCTTGTTTGCATGTTTATATTAATATTAAATTACTCCTTAAATAAATTGCGGAAATTTACACGTTGAGAATTTCGATTCATGCTTATTATACGTAGATTTGTAAACTACCGTTTAATTATCCTTTTATTCTTTTCATTTAATCCAATGAAAATGAAACAAATTTTCTTCCAAACATTAATACGAAGAAACCTTGAATCGAATATCCACCAAGATAAATTGAAAAAAATTATTGGGACTATAAAAAAAAAAAAAGTCTGTCAAACACCGCAATTAATTTTCTGAGTAATTTAATAGGATAGAATGAATAGTGATCTTGTAGATATTGTGTGTCGTTGAAAAAAAAAAAAAAGGAAATAGAGAAGAAAAGTTTGATTTCCAAAGAACAAAAAGACTGTTTTAAATTAACGAATTGACGAATAAGTTATTTTCATATATAAATAATTAATTATTCATGTATGTATAAAATTTTAATAGATAATTGGATTTTTGGTGATGCTGATTTTTTTTTTTTTTTTTTTTTTTTAGAATTAAGTTTTCTTCGTCGATAGTCGAACTTTGTTTCGTTTCATTTTCAGCATGATGGAATATTGTTAGTATATCTAGTCGAAGTATTTGTTAAAATTGTTGTACAATGTAAGTGCCAGATTTATATGATTTTAAATAAAATATATTTTTATACAACAAATATTGCTTTTTTTTATTTAATATCCTATAAATCTGGCCTTTACCTTTCATCCGTTAACCCTTGATTTCTAAACATTGACGAGAAACAATTGGTCGATTCTTTCTTAGCGAATTAAATTTCCAGATTTGTCAGAAATTATTTTTCAAAAAGACGAATTATTATTTAAAAAATCGTTAAAATCGACGCTCGTGTTCGCCGACAGATCGGAATTAAATTTTAATTAATTAATTCTTTATTTGTATAAAAAATATATAAAACCGATGTTTTTTTTCACGATATAATATAACACGACGAAAACTATATAATAACATTAAGTTATTTTATCTTCTGTTCTATATTTCTTTAATTTTTTTTTATTTCTAATTTCTTTTATTCTTTTATTGGCTTTAAAAAAATAGAGAGAATTATCGTGTATAAATATTTTCAGGAATCGAACGATCAAAACGAAGTGTCGAACGACATGAAGAATCCTTATAGAGTGCTAGTGGAGAAATATCAAGCGTTGTTAGAAGTTCAAAGACGATCCGCGCTTAGGCGGAAAGATAGCGTGCCAACGCCTATGTCGTTGCAAGAAGAGTTAGAGATGTCGGGGGAGTTCAACAGTTTTCAGAGCCCGACGTTGGAGGCGGAGATCCAACAGGAGCCGGCTAAATCGGCGGTTGGTAACGCGACACGTGCCAAAACGGAGATGTGCGGTAAAAAAGTGTTTTCCGCCACTCCGACAGATTTCTCCGAGGCGGAGACTTCATCGTCCGGTTTTTTGGACGAGACGAGTAACAAAGCGACGCAAACCGAGGGAAGGCCCGGCTCGTTCCTATTCTCGTTTGCGGACGGCGAGGATTGCAAGTTCAGCATTTACGACGATAATAGCCCGTTCGAGAGTAGATTCAGGAAAACGCCCGAGTACAGACAATTGTTCAGTGAAATATTCCGAGTCTTGAAACGAGCCGCGGAAGCCAAGGACGAAGGTGAAAAATTACCCTTGTTGGACGATTCCACGAGCACGATCAATTCTCAGCAACAATCCGCGCTTCAAGATGATGTTCCTAGCGAGACAACCGACGATAATCAAAGCGTTTCCTCTTCTATATTTTCATCCGCCGTATCCGAACCACCGTACATAGTACAAATCTCGCCGAATGGAGTGAACGAACAACAAAACGGTGAAGTGAGTGTCGCGAAGAATGGGAAGAATATCATTCGAAACGTAAATCGATCGGATTATTTAATGCTTAACAGTAAAAAGAAGTCGAAAAAACATTCCTCCGCTAGTAAAAAATTAACGTATAACGATAGACCAACGACACCCGATGTGATTCCAACCACGAATCCAAAGTTCGTTCCGCCGAAATCGAACAGCGGGGGGAAGAAGAAATTCAGACCTTTCACGATCGCCGATCAAAATGGTAGCACGTGCAACGGGTACGCTTATCCAAACAAAACGAAGGAATCGCCTAATTCGACCGCAAAATCTTCGAATAACGCAGGCTCGAACAACAACGCTCAACACAACAACAGTTTCGAGTATAGAGACTATAAACCGAGCACAGCGTCGGTAGAAGTAGCCCGGCTAAAACGTTTAGAAATGTCTTACGCGGAAGTTCTTCGGTTGCCAAATAAATCTAAAATGAACAATCATCGTAGAAGCTAAAATCTTCTTTGATATATTATCACGATACCTTGAAGGAGGAAAAAAAAAAAAAAAAAAAAAAGGAAGACTTTTATACGTAAGATATAGTCAAGTGAAAGGTTAAGTTCAAAATTTGTTAAGTTTAACCTCGTAAAACGAAATACTTAGGACGGAATTAAATTATTTCACAGAAGTAAGATTCACAGTATTGATGATCAGTGCTAATTGAACAAATTTTGTGAATATTTTTTAAGGGAAGCGATTGCGTGTAATGTCTACTAGATACTAAATTATTTGAAATTAATTTTTTTATTGTATTTTGTATATCTTAATTGTATAGGTTTTTTCATGTGAATGTGCGTGGGCAACAAAGGTATACAACGTTAATATACATATATTATTAATAGCATCTACCGGAGATTTATGAACGGTATAAATCGAGTCGTGCCTCGCGAGTTTGTTTTTCTTTAGAAATTGTAGTTGTGATCAGAAATAAAATTATTTATGTGCCATTTATTATGTCGAATTATAATCGTCAACTATTCCAAATACTTACTCGAATTTCCTTCCATGACATACGTAATACCTATTTCCAAGGAGAACTCACGATTAGTGCATTTCATTAATAACATGTACAGTATATTAGCTTTTATATCTCATAATTATAAATTACGATAATATTATGATCATCTTATGTCGAGTAAATAAAATATCTTTATCTTAGTCGGTACATTCTATCTCGTAGTAACACTTAATTCCTTTCTATTCGGTATCCTATAAAAAGCCATATAACTCTTTTTTATTTATTGAACATTACACTATAAAAGACTTTAAAGAATTGGCATATATTTTTTACATTTGCAGTGTAACAACAGTGTAGTGTAATATACACATTTTTTTTTTTCTCCTTTTTTTTGTAATTTTTAAAACTTCGCATAAGCGCGAATCCAAAACAACGAAATGTTATACAAATTCCTAAATGCTTTTTCTTTTATTGACTACATTTAAATGTACATTTAAGCATTCTTGTATCTGCTATTCATAATAACATTCAATTCACTTGCTATTACGTTAATTCCATTCAATTGCAATATATAAATTAAAAATAAGATACATGTGATGTTCCATAAATACAAATTCCATTCAAAACTTCTTTTCTTTAATGCATTACTGTCATTTGATCATCTCTTAATCCTTTTTTTTTTCTATTTTTCTTATTTCAGTTTTAAAAATATTTGGAATAAAATTTTGCCAGTGTATATGGCAATTTCATCAAAATTGATATATTTGATTAAGAATCATCGAATAACGCACGATGTACTGCTCCTAAACTTGGTTGTACATAACTTGAATTAACACTTCTCCTTGATCTGTAAATGATATATTTAAATTTCATAATTATTAAGCAATAAAGCGAAGAATAATCATAATTAATAAAAGAAAAATGCGATAAGATAATGTATTATAATTAAAAAATAAAAATCATACTCCGTAAGAGATCTGACAGCTGGTCCAGTTGGATTATTTTTTGGTCGTGGATTTACAAGGAGACATTTCATAGGATGTCCATCTAATTGTCTATTGTGATAAGTTTCAACAGCTTTAGTAGCATCCTTTAACGTTTTATAAATTACTTCCGCTGTACCCGGCCGTACTAAGCGAGATACTAACAATTCTCCTACATCCTCGAATAATTCCTACAATATACAAATTGTTAAGACCGATAAACTACATATGCATTATAATACTTTATTACACCATTTTACCTTGATATCTTCTTGAGTAACATTTGCTTGTAAATTTGATACGACAATTCGATAACCAGTAGATTGTGACGATGAACTGGAACTTGTTTTAGATCGAGATAAAACATCCATAGTTCGCGATTTACTTGGAACTGAATCTAATCTTGACTTCACTCCAATGTCTCTATGACTTCTTGAATCGTAATATTTGGAATCTACCGTGTCTTCTGCTAATATAGTCCTATAAAAATAATATTAAATTTAAATATTACATATGATAAAATTTATATAATAAAATAAATAATAAATTTTTATAAAAATCGATAAAAAACTTAAGTACCGTGATTTCGTGCCAAAACTCCAATCTTCTTTATACGAGGGAGATGCAGATTTTGTCTGAAATCATTAATTACGAATAATCTGAAAGTTGAAAATTGAAGAAACTATATAATAACAAATTATACGATATATCTAACACTTGCCATTGGAAAACGTGCAATAACTTTATAATCTCTTGCTCTCTCGCGTTCTCTATCATCATCAGGTTTGTGAGAGGGTACGATTCTTATTACATTACTGCTTGTTGGTTTTACCCATGTATAAGATGATGCAGGTTTAATACTGAAAGCTGGGGGTGGAGGAGGTGGTGTAGGAGCATATTCGTTACTCACAGTTCTTCTTAAAGGTGCTGTTTCCATCATATAATCTGAAACGTATAAAGATATTAAATAATTTTATAGAGATAGATAGATTGTATTTATCAAATCAATTTTTTATGTACCATCGATAAAATCCATATTCATGTTTCCCATGTAATGAGATTCTGCGAGTGGAGGTGGCCTATAACCTACTGCTCTTGAAGGTGGTGGCATATAATTGTTTGAAATACTTGGTGGAACGTTATGTGGCATGATTGGTGGCATTTTATTAGTAGATAAAGATAGTCTTCCATTACGACCTGTTTTCTGAGATATTCCAGGTATCTGTGTCTCTATTTTTTTAAACTGTGATGCACGAATCTTATCTAATTTTAATCTAGCATCGCTTTGTTTAGCAATTTCAGCAAGTTTATCTCTTGCATCTGTGAGTTTTTCTCGATTTTTTTGTATAATTTTAAATCTTGCATCAGTAATTACTTGTGAACCACGTCCTCGAGCTAGCGAACCATTAGCTCTTGCACCTCTATTAATACCTCTTCGAACGCTATATAAGAAGTAATAAAGAGTATTATAATTTATTTTATATTTTTATTATTTATATTATTATTTTTTATATTTTTTTATTAATTTTGACTTAATGAAATATAATATTATATATAATCGAAATACTAACAATTATACAGATTACAGTTAAATATCACTAAACATATACCAATTGGATCATAATCATTCTTTTCTATTGCAAATAAAATATATATTTGAAATAAAATAATAAAAAAATACATATAAATAATGATTCATAATGGTATAAAAAATATTTCTAAGAAAAAAAATTCAAAATTTCAAATTATTCATAATAACTTAACACTGTTAAGAACAACTTGCAATTTAAAACAAATTTTTTTATTAATCTGAGATTATGAGATAAAATCATCGAATTGATATAATAATAAAATAATTTATAAAAAGAATGTCGTTTATCTTTCGAATGAAATGAAAAATGTTTAAAAATATTGGTAGATGATATAAAAAAAAAAAAGAATGTTCTTTTTGATAATTGGAGATCTTATTTTTTTAAGGTTATAAAGAAATCAATAACACGACAATCACAGTATAGTTAAATTTATCACTGATTGTTTAAATTTTCTTACCCTCCACCTCTGCTTCTCATTCCTGATGATTTTGATTTTTTAATTATGTCATCTAAACTTAGGCCCACATCAGCCATACCGTAACAATGTAACTACCCGAAACTGACGCGATTCATGAAACCGAAAATATAAGCCACTTTGCACTTAAAGGCATATTTCCATGAAATTATTATATTTGACACAACTATACATTTACTATGTATATATATTACTATATATGTATATCATATCTTCTTTATTATAATTTGTATTCATTTTGTATTATATAAATATATTAATATTATTAAAATTAAGGAAAGGATACGCTAAATATTTTTAAAAAAATTATTCAAGAATGCAATATAATTCATTATTAATTCACAATTTTAACTGTTAAAAAATGATATTTAATAATATGCGTGTATATATAATACGTATAAAACAAATAAGCGAAACATCGTTACCAATTTTTTAAAATATTTAAATTAATTTAATATTAAAAATTTTTAATAAGATCACACAATATAAAATCCAAACTTTTTCTAAAAACAATTTGCGATCAATCACATAAACGTGATCAATAACCCAATAAACAGTTTTATATCTTCATAATTTATATTTATTATCATATTAAATTATATTATGATATTATGATATTGAATTGTATTTAAAACTTTTTATTCATATAATTTTATTACTTAATTTATTATTAGTTTCCAATTTAGAAAAATATAGACTTAAATGTATCTCAAAATATTTTTACCAAATTTTTGTTAACAAAAAGTCTCATTTTTTAATAATCAAAGATTTACACGAGACTTTTAAGAGTTACAATATTTTTTCCTCAATATTACTCTACTTATTCTATAAGATACGTCGAATATATTTTAATTATCTAAATTTACGCATCTATTAATATAACTACTTTTCTCAATAAATTCAATCGGATTAAAATCGAACATATTTAAGAAACATTTAATCAAAAAACTGAAAGTATTTTGAAAAAAATTATTATATTATTTTATATCAAAATATAAATTAAAAAATAATTTTATAATCATTAAAATTATTATTATCATCAATAGTGATTAACTTATTGAAGTTGGTTAAAAAAAAAAAAAAAAGAAAAAATAAATGCACAATAAAGATAATCAAGAAATAACTAGCTTCAAGAACTAGAATACCTTTATTCATTTCTTTTTTCTAAGTTGGGATTGAAAATATCAAGATCAATTCTTAATATGGTAATCATATTACATGATGAAGCATATTATAAAAGTCGAATACCGCAACCCGATTTAGGACCTTTTAGAAATTTTTTGCGGTTTCTTTGGGATAAAGAAAGAAAAGCATTTCTCGACAGAACGGCAAAAGATTGGGGTAATGTTTCACGATACATATATTAAATTTAATATTCAAATAATTAATGGCAACATTAATGTGATTAAATTTAATATTCACTATTTCATTTTTGTTCTATGTAATAGTTAAATAGTTGTATACAATAGTCTCTGCAAATATCATTATTCCTAAAAGATATTCAATAAAATGGAAAAGATAAAACTTGATGAAATGACCCTGAAAATTAATGAAATGGTTGATGCATTGTATTAATTTAACTGCATCCTGTTTTTCGTATACTTTGTTACTCTACTCTACGTAGAGAAATATGGTCTTCCATCGTTATAATTTGTTAATACAAAATGTATATATATATATGTATTTGAAATTTAGGTCAACTAGGATTATTTTATTTGTGCTTTTTTACTATTTTGGGAACAATATTTGCGGTACAAATGAAGGTCAGTATAGATTACGTTTCTCAACTGGATAAACCATTTTTTCAATACCTTCCAAAATCTGGGAAAGCTTCACGTTTTAGCCGATCAACTTTCGGCAGTCCAGGTAATCTTCATTGCTAATCCTTGTACAAAAATTTTCAAATTAAGTAATTCTTGTCTTATTCTTATAACTTTATATCATAAGATGTGTCGCAAAATCAATATCGCATTAATTAATAATAATGTAATTGATATGGACGCAAATATTAAGTAAAATTTTTCTAAAGGAATAGTTTTTAAACCAAACAGCGTGTCAACTGCATCACCTATTATTTCGGTGAGCAACTTAACTGACAATACCAAATCGGAAAGATACGTTCAAGCGATAAATGATTTTTTACAAGGTATTTTACAAAATAATCCTATTTCTAATATATTTATAACATATAATATAACATTACTGATAGAACACTTGTTATATTTTAGAATATTATAAAAATAAATCAAACTATGATTTAGACTGTTATAAAAAACATTCGATATCAAGCCATCATAGAAAATCTTGCTTTTTCAACATACACAATCTTGGAATATGTAGCACGCCTCCATATGGTTATACGAAACCTTTAAAACCTTGTGTCCTTATTAAATTTAATAAGGTATATCTTTACATTTGATTTGAATTTTAATAATCGTTATCATAAGATAAACGCGCACATTGTTGCAGAGGTTCGATTGGATCCCAGAATATTATAATTATTCGTCGCATTTGCCGCAGAATATGCCAGCCAAATTGAAGAAAGTAGTGCAAAAATCTCACAAGGTTTAATTTTGTACATTTTGTGGTAAAATTTCTAGTAAAAAAAAAAAAAAAAAAAAAAAAAAAAACAGCAATATGCTGTAACGTTTTCGTATTGAACAATCGATAAGTAACACATTTTCGAAAAACATATTTAAAATATATATCTCGTTTCAGCCTTACATTTGGTTGTCGTGCAACGGAGCGAATAACGTCGATAAAGACCATATCGGAGAAATAGAATACATTCCGACTCCTGGATTTCCAGTTGAATATTTTCCATTTACCGGACAACTAGATTACATGTCTCCTATTGTCGCGTTGAAATTCAATAGTTTAACACGTAAGTTGACTTTATTTTTCTTTTGGTCGATCGAAGTATGTGAAAAATAATTACGCCTGTGAATTCATTCCAGTAAATAGATTAGTGACAGTGGAGTGCTACTTGTGGGCTCAGAATATCGAGCAGCAATCTCAATACTCGTTGGATTTTCAAATAATAATAGGTACGTGAAATAATTATTTTTAAACAGTTTGTTTCTGTAGTTTTTTTTTTAATAGAGTATCAAAGATCACTCGTCACTTGAGGAGAAACATTGATTAAGATTGATTTTAAACAGGAGATTAATTTAATTTAAATATAAAAAATAAATAAATAAAATGACAAGAACATCAAGAATAAATCTCTTTTGTTGTTGTGTATTCTTATATAACGAGCCATTGTTACGAAGAAGAAAATAATAATCGAAAATTATGGAAGGATAATTGAGATTTATTACTGAATTATTGTATATTGTTAGAAGAAATAATTTAATTTTTATCATTTAATTCGAATCTAATTCAGGCCACCTTTTTCCTCTCGTGGCCTTTTGACAAGAATCTTTCCTCGATGTGTGTGAAATTCAATTTACAGTAAAACGCGATTTACGATATATTTCATGACAAGAAACATGCGCGAAATAATGTGACCTTGAATGCTTCTGATTTATACATCATTGCATAATCCTATAGATAAAATCTAATATCTTAAGATTTATACATGTTACGATTAAATATATCAAGATCTCGTGATTTTATATTATTTAAGTAAAAATTAAAATAAATAAATTATGATTCGAAAATATATTATGAATATTTGTAGATGAGAATAAGAGAGAAAGTATTATGGATTATCAAAAGTATTGTATATATTATATATATATATATATATTCTCAAATTGCAAATACATACTTTATCTTGAAATCGGATAAAATTATATATACTTTATTAATTTATTAATATTAATTTTTAAATGACGATAAAAATTACAATTTTGTCTATCGAGAAAAAGTTGAAACGTAAATTTAAAAATCTTGTCACTCGGGGCAACATCTCGTCATTGACAAATCACACGAAGCGATATATAAGTTCAATCGGTAATCTCTTATAAATTTAAGAATATATTGGATGGATATGCGTGACACGAAGAAAATATAAATACGTCTATAAAGAATTTTCAAACGGTATTTTTCGTTTTCCATAAACGAGGACATGTTGAATCGATATGAATGTGCGTCGATAATTCTCTTCGTTACGACTTTCAATGCCCGATCCACATTTAAATACGCGTGTATACGCTCGTTTTAAAGTTTAGGAAAACTTTAGAATTTGATTGTCACGGTAAAAAAGAAAAGAAGAACGAGATATCGATGCTTTATTCGCACTTAAAGAGTATCAGATCTAACGTAATTTAGATAAGATACGATCGACACGTGGTGTTCTAACTAATCGATTGATACGAAACAATATCCGTGGGAATGAGTTTTAGTTGATAGTTAGCTGTGAGTCAGTGCGCCATAAGGCGACGAGTGTCTGACATATCTTGGCGTTTCCCACTACTACTACTCGATCGGTAGACGTAGAACTTCGAGCGGCCCAAGTATCGCTTAGTCTCTCTTCCAGAGACAGAGAGCAGTGAGCTGATTCAGCTCGAGCGGCGTACAATTACTTCGCTGCTCGAACGGCCGCTCGACCGATTTGTTTTTCTCACACAGAGACAGTTTCGGTTTGGACGAAAAGTCAAGTTGGAAGTCGGGAAATTGTTGTCCAAAGGTCGAACGAGAGAGTTTCACGAGTGTTGTGAGATATAGTCGGAGAGAAATGAGCGTGCCGGGCAAGCAATTGCAGAATGGTACTTACGAGTTCGATTACAAGCGAGTACCCGAGAAAAAGACGCATTGGAAAGTTCTGCGAGATTTTATTCACGATCCAGTCGAAGGCACTTACTGCGGTCACACGGGAAAGAAATGGGGTAATTATATTTCCTTATAATTGAATAATTAAGTGGCCATTCTACGAATGATATTGTTTGTATAGGCGCATGGATAGCATGTGCTTCGGCCTGCAATACCCGCGTTTTTTAATTCAACTCGAATTACGAACAATTTTTCAAATTTCTGCCCTCCTTGTCATTGATCCAATCGAATTGAATGCGCAGATCAAGGATCGAGAATTGCAATTTCCTTTTGTCTTTTTTATGTTTATCTGAAAAATTGAATTATTGTCCGAAATATTTCCGATCTCATATTATTATCTGAAATATAAATATATATATATATATATACAGATAATATGTATGTGACAATTATAAATTTATATCCAAGGATCATGGTTTGATAACGATAAAAATGATTAAATAAAGATCGAGATGGGATATGTTGCATGAAAAATTGAAAGACACAGTCTGTTTCTAGCAGTGTTTAATTGTTATCAATGGCATTGAAACCGTCGAGTGTTCTATATAAGTTACGATAAGAAATTAGGAATTACATTAACCGAACTTCTGTATATATTTATATAGTTTCGAGAAATCTGAAAGATTCAAACTATTTATAACGATATTGTAAATATCTAAACTATGTGAATATATAGTTGTTATATATTGTTGATATCACGGTCTGCAGTTTAATAGTCAATGAAATTGAAGATAAATATTGGCACACGTTCAAAATAATTGAATGTTTACAGTGTTAATTTTTCCTGGTATTACATTTTATAAATTTCAATTGATATTCGAATAATATGGCAAATTCAAATATAGCGACGCAAAAAATATTTTCGCAAAGAATTTTTGCTTTTGTTTTTTTTTTTTTTTTTTATGTTTCACTTTAATTCTGTTTTAATAAAATGTAATACAATCATTGAAACGAATATAATTATAAGAATAATAACAACGTATTTTATTTTATTTTATTTTATTCGCGGAATGATAATCATGTTATGTTATATGAGAATTAAGAAAATGAAGTAAATATTATGAATGCAGATGTATAAGAATCGCAGGAAGTGAAGGATTGCTTAAAATATATCGTAGAAGCCCGTACCATAACAAAAGTAGCTGTATTATTTATCACTCGAACAGCCAAGATGGAATTTATTCGTTCAACGTGTAAATAATTTGATAGTAATACGATAAGCAAATATAACGTGTTAAAATTAGAAAAATTTATTCTCGAGAATTTTGATCCGGGCGACAATTCGCGCAATAAATCTTTAATAATGATAATTTTACAAAGTTTCGTTGATTTAAGAAAATGCATCCCGAATCTCGCGAGAATTAACGAAAAGATCATATCATTCATATCAAACAGTGATCCTAAAATCATTCTTTCGTATTATTTGTGCGTAATTTTGAGGAAAATTCTAAAAAAATTTTCAATCGATCAACGATCAATATCTCGTATTACATAATTAATCAATTTTGTAATAAAATTCACAAAGCATTTTATTGAAATTTTGTATAAATAAAATTTGAAACGAAAAAATTGCTTTTAAGGAATTAGAGGAAAAAAATTAATAATGATACGATACACTCGTAAGGAAAATACAAAAGAAAAATATTGATGTATTAAAATCGAATTAAGACCGTTTACTCGTTACGTTTATAAATGATATGCATACGATTTATTTGTTTCTATTTTTGTACAGGAAATAACGATACGAAATCAAATCGTATCGTTTCATGTGTTATTTCATCGAGAGATATGCGAAATAAGACAACATACATTCCATAAATATTTGAATGTTTAATATTATCATTGTTTCAATTATATAGATTCACGTGAACACGTAAATAATTATCTCTATTTTGATTATTAATTTTTGTCTTTATTTTCTTTACCTTTTATATTATATTAACGATGTATTCCTTAACCTATACACGAAATCTATAGAAAATGTAATACATTACAAAATATACACTTTCTATTTCTTTAACTTTCAATGACGAAACAATCTTAGCCTTGAAAACGATGTTTAAAACATTTCACTTTGATCAAATTTTTTTTGTGAATAAAAAAGAAGCGAAGGAGAGAGAGAGAGAGAGAGAGAGAGAGAGAGAGAGAGAGAGAGAAGAAGAGAA